AGGGCACGTTCAGCTTCCTCCGTCCAAGTAAACGGCCCGGAGCGTTTGAGGAGCTTAAATAAGGGTAGCGCCTTCTCTCCCAGCCTCGATATGAACCGACTTAGGGCGGCCATGCAACCGGTGACACATTGCACATCCCTAAGCTTGCTGGGGGGGCGCATCCGCTCTATAGCTCGTATCTTCTCGGGGTTGGCCTCGATGCCTCGGGCAGAGACCAAAAACCCGAGAAGCTTGCCCGCAGGTACACCGAACACGCACTTATCGGGGTTCAGTTTTATGCGGGCGGAGCGGAGACTCTCAAAAGTTTCCGCTAGATCAGAGAGTAAGGTCTCTTGGTTGCGCGTCTTTACAACCAAGTCATCGACATAAGCCTCAACATTACGTCCTATTTGGCTACCCAAAGAAATTCGAGTAGTACGTTGAAAAGTAGGACCTGCATTCTTTAACCCGAAGGGCATTGTCGTATAACAATAAGTTCCTATGGGGGTAATGAACGCAGTTTTTTCCTCATCCTCCCTAGCCATGTGAATCTGATGGTAACCAGAGTATGCATCTAGAAAACACAAAAGGTCGCACCCCGCTGTGGAGTCGACAATCTGATCTATGCGAGGCAGGGGGTAAGGGTCCTTAGGACATGCCTTGTTATGGTCGGTGTAGTCGATGCACATCCGAAGCTTGCCGTTCGCCTTGGGAACGACCACCGGGTTCGCCAGCCACTCCGGATGGATGACCTCGCGGATGAATCCGGCCTCCAGAAGTCGCGCCACCTCCTCACGGATGAAGGCTTGACGTTCCGGGGCCTGCCGCCGTACTTTCTGCCGGACCGGCCTTGCGCCCGACCGCACGGCGAGACGGTGCTCAATCACCTCCCTGGGGACCCCGGGCATATCCGCCGGTCTCCATGCGAAGACGTCAGCGTTTGCCCGCAGGAAAGAGACGAGCGCGTCTTCCTATTTGCCATCCAGAAGACCACCGATTCGTGTGGTCTTGGACGGGCCGTCGCCCAGGGCAACCTCCTTGACCGGGACCTCGTCGCACGTGACTATCCGCTGCCTCGGGGCGGCGGGGATGGAGGTGCCAAGCCTCTCGTCGCCACCCTCGGGCTTGGACGCAGCGGCGAGGTGGTCCGCGCGCTGCTCCATACAAGCGAGCGCGACTTTGAGGTCGCCATGGACAGAGATGGGACCACCGAGGCCCGGCATCTTCATCTGGAGGTAGGCGTAATGGAGCGCCGCCATGAACTTCACCAACGCGGGCCTCCCTAGGACCGCGTTGTAGGGCAGACTGAGGTCCGCCACATCAAAGTTCACCCGTTCCGTGCGGAAGTTGGCGGATCCACCGAAGGTGACCGGGAGGTCGATATGACCTAGCGGCCAAGTGTGACCCGGCGTCACACCGATAATCGGCTGGGACAGCCGGAGCACCATCCCCGGGGCCTTGATAGCGTCAAAGGCTGCGGGGGAAAGGATGTTGAGGGCTGCTCCCCCATCAATGAGGACACGCCCCAGCTTCACGTTGCAAACAGTGGGGGAAACCACCATTGCGATCTGTCCTCCCCGGGCAACGCACGGTGGGTGGTCGGTCTGGTCGAAGGTGAGGGCAACCTCCGACCACCGCGCCCGGCGCGTCGCCTCATGAGTAGGGGCCGCGGCCAGAAGCTCTCGCTTCATGGCCTTGAGGCTCCGGCGAGAAACGTGAGCACACGCTCCCCCATCGACAGTGGCAATGGTGGCCCCAGGCTCTTGGAAACCTAGGTCATCATCGCCGTCATCGATGTCCTCGGCGGGGGCCTTCTGCTTGGCCTCACTTCGCCGATTGCCGGAAGGAACCGCCGGGGACTTGCCCTCTCGGCGCTCCTGCCTCCTCTCCTCCTCCCACTTCCTCGTCCGCTCAGCCAAACTTTTGACTGCGCGGCAGTCCGCGAGGTCGTGAAGGGAGGTGTTGTGGACGATGCACCACTTGCCAGTTGGGCGCTCCCTACTGGGAGCGCCGGCCTCCTTCTTTTTGTCGCTCGCAGGCCTCCCCTTTCGGGTGGCCCGCGAAGCGCCCTCGACGGCGAGGACATGACCCTCGTCGTCGGAATGGGCTGACCTCTTCTTCCTCCTCCTGTCACGCCGCCCTGTCCGAGCAGCGGATCCGGGGGCGGCCGAAGCTGCCACACCGGAACCGGAGGGGTTCCAGGTCCATGCCTCTTCCTTACGAGCCACTCGGTCCGCGAGCTAAAAAAGCTCCGCGGTAGTCTGGGGCTCTTTGGAGGCGATCTTTTCGAGCATGCGGTTGTGCCGCACACCCCCCCTGAACGCGTAGATCACCGCGTGTGCAGGGATGCATGGTATGGTGTTGCGGACTTGACAGAACCGCTGAATGTATGAGCGAAGTGACTCATCATCCCTTCGCTGGACTGCATGTAAGTCCGCTTCTTCACCTGGGCGCGGATATGTGCCTTGAAAGTTCATGGTGAACTGTTGGCACAAATCCTCCCAAGAGTGGACGGACGCGGGTGGCAAGTTCATTAGCCAACCCCGTGCCTGTCCCTTCAGGGCCATGGGAAAGAAATTCGCCATGACCCTGTCGTCATCCCCGGCGGCCTCGATCCCGGTCGTGTAGACCTGGAGAAACTCGGCGGGGTTGACGCTCCCGTCGTATTTTTCGGCGATGGTGGGCCAGAACCTTGGGGGCCAACGGACGTTCCGAAGGCTCGCCACAAAGGCTCTACAGCCGACACCACCAACCGGGGGCACGGAGGGTTGATCCCCGCGTCCGTGTTGATGTGACACTCCGGACGAGGAGGCGCCCTCCGTTGCGTGGGCAGCACGTCGGCCATTACGCTGGTGCTCGATACTGATGCGGGCATCCGGCCCTCCACGCAGATCTTCCTGGGTCGGAGGCGCTGACGAAGGAGTGGCGGCCGAATGGCGAGCAACAGCCGCCGCTCGCCGCGCCCTCCGCCTTGACGACACGGAGCGGGTGGTAGCAGCGCCAGAGGTCTTGGTGGCGGAGGACCGCCCACCAGCACCTAGGCGCTGCTGTGCCGTCATGACCAAGTTGGCCACGTCGTCCAGCCAACGTTGGGCTGGAGACTCCGGGCCAGGGACAATGGGCGGGTGACGTAGGAGCGCGCCCGCAGCTTGGAGCGCGCCCTGGGGCGTGCTGCCGTCGCCGTAGACGAGGAGGCGACGCTCCCCATCTCGCCGCCCTTCCCCAGCACCCGTGGATGTCGAAGTCGCGGATCCTTCGACCCTCTCGAGCGCCTCCTCCCGCCTAGGACTTTGGCGTGGAAGGGGCGGTGGAGTACGAGCTCGACGGCGTGGGTTCGGCTCCCCGTCGTCACCGCTAACACTCGGAGAGAGGCTGTGCGCCTTTGCTTGTTCAGCCATTGGGCTGAACAGGAAAAGCTTGGTGCACACGAAAGAGTGCGAGAGCTTAGAAGAACACACGCAGAACCCCCTACCTGGCGCGCCAGATGACGGAGCGTGGGGCTCCTCACCGGGAGACCGCGCAGGCCCCCCTTTGCCGGTTCGGCCGGGGGCCCTGGGTGAGATTCTAAGCTCCTAGTCTGTGTGTGGAAGGTTCGCGAGAATGGAAACACACAAGACACGGGCGATGTATACAGGTTCGGGCCGCTGAGAAGCGTAATACCCTACTCCTGTGTTCTGGTGGATCTGTGTATGAAGAAGCTACAAAAGAGCTGGAGAACCAGAGAGCTCTTACTCTCTCCCTCTCTGATCGTTCTGGATCCGAAAAAATCCCCTTTCTAAGTGGGCAAGGTCCTCCTTTTATACCTCAAGGGGATACCACATGCACCATCTCTCTCTTTTTTTTGTGGGGACTTATCCTATCTTTTCATAAACAGACGGAGACTTGTATGGTTGCCGTCCGAATGACCTTCTGATGGGACGGCCCATACCTACCTCTACTTCCGCCGGAAGCAGGCGCGACGTGGGAACATGGCTGTCTGCTGACGACATGACCAGTGTCAGACCGGTCACAAATCGGTCATTCTTGTCCACCACGCGTCAGTTTATCAATCTGCATGTTCGCCCCTCTTCATACAATGTCATGCTTGTAATGGTTAGGATGAAGCCTGGTATATATCTGACCGGGACCAACGTGCCATCTCCAGGAGCTAACACGCTGGCTCCGGCTAGGGACGAGTGCTTGGAGGCTCTCATCCTGACGGGATGGGGCGAGGCGTGCGTCAGACCGCCTGTCGCCACCTAACCCACGATCTGATCGGTCTGTGACTGGTCACAGACCGGATAAACGAGTGCGCTGCACTGCGTTACATGCGGCGTGACGCGCTCGTCCAAACCGCAATAAATGTGGTTAGGTGAGCCCCGCTATGCTCACCTACCCCATATACGCGGCGCAAAACCCACAAGGGGTCGGGGCGCCTCGGCCCTCGGGGCCGAGACGGGAGCGGTCCGACCCCTCGGGGAGACAAAGAAAAGGGCGGCCGTATCACCCTCGGGCCCGACCCCCCCCCCCCCCCGAGGGGGTTAGGCCACGTGGGTGATCGTGTCTGCCTCAAGTCTCTAAGTCATGATACTCCCGGTCCCATGTGAAATTTTCTTTAAAAAAACATCATACGGTAATTTAGGAAATGCATATTAAGGTGGTGTTTGGATCTAGGGACTAATTTTTAAGTTCCCATCGTATCGTATGTTTTGAAACTAATTTAGAGTATTAAACATAGATTAATAATAAAACTAATTGCATAAATGAGAGCTAATTAGCGAGACAAATTTTCTAAGCACAATTAATCTATAATTAGCACATATTTATTATAGCATCACATAGGCTAATCATGGATTAATTAGGCTCAATAGATCCGTCTCGCGAATTAGTCTAGAATTATGAAATAAGTTTTATCATTAATCTATATTTAATACTTCTAATCTAATTAATATCCAAACATCCAATATGACATGGACAAACAGCCCGATTGAAAATCAATAGTAGACGGCAGCCGTATATACCGTCTGGGGGTCCCCCCATTTTCTCCCTTTTGTCCTCCCCTTTCTCCGTCCGGAGGAGCCGAGGAGTTGTCGTCTGTCCGTGGGTCTCGACTCCATCGGTCTTGCGCGCTATCTCCGAGGCTCCGGCGACGCGGCTGGGCCTTGTGCAGCGACGGCCGGCTGCTCCGACGTTAGTCCCCGGCGATCCCATCTCTCCGACGGTTTATTTTTTTTCCTGCATCTCTTCAAACCTCTCTAATGTTTATTTATGTTCGGTCGAGTCCAATGTACTGGAGTAATGCTTTGAGTTTGGTTGGAAAATTCTTGATTCAGTTACTGATGTAGCAAAGGATCTCCCGTTTTTAAGTTTGGTGATTGTGTGGGTTCAGGTAAGAAATGGAAGTGGAGAATTTATAGGGCTTTTGTTCGTCTAATCCCTTATATATCCCGTGGAGATTGGAGGGGATTGGGGATAATAAGCCGTTACCAGGAAAAAAAAAGAGGGTTTTTTATAATTGAAATCCTGCATCAGCCACTATGATCTGCTAGTTGCATCTCCTTTTCAAGCTTAAGCTGATTTTGTGAATTCGCTATATATATGGAAATGGGGATTACTGTGGTTGATGCAATATTTTTGGCACTCTTGTAGACTGCAGTGGAATTGCTCCGAGAGCAGAGCTCTCCAGGTCTCCATGGATCTGGACACCACACGAAAGCGGCCCCGTGAAAGTGGCGTCGCCGTCGATCGGCTCAGCGCGTTGCCGGACTGCCTCCTCCATGTCATCATGTCCTTCATGAAGGCCAGGCAGGTGGTGCAGACGTGCATGCTGTCCAAGAGGTGGGAGCACCTCTGGCGCACCGTGCCGTGCCTCGATGTAGATCATCGGGAGTTCCAAAGCACAGGTGAAGCTGCACAGGGCGACAATGAGGTGTGGCAGAATTTTGAGGATTTTGCGGACAACCTGATGCTTCATCACCAGATTGCACACCTGGATACGTTCCAGCTGCATGTTAATAATGTGTATCGTTGGGGTCAACATGCATCTAGGTGGATTCGTCGCAGCATCAAGTATAACACCAAGGTTCCTGGCATTCCTCGCCCGGGATTGAGCTGCAGTTCTTGGAGCCTCAAAAGACTACATCTTTCTAACATTTGTGTGGATGATCTGTTCGCAAAGCACATTAGCTCAATGTGCTGCTCTCTGGAGGATTTGAATCTCAAAGGATGCAGATTTGCATTCAATGAGATCACGTCCCACTCACTGAAGAGCTTGGTGATCGACAGCTGCGACAGCAAGCTTTGTCCTTCCAAACTGGTTGTCACGGCTCCTGCCATTGCCTCCCTGTGCCTTATTGTGAAATTGTGGTTTTTCCCCGGCGGTCTCATTGTAAATGAAATGCCATTCCTTTCGAAAGCATCCATTCTTGTTTCAGCCACCTACGACGGAAAGAACTTCCAACACAATCAAAGCAAGTTTCTTGGTAGCCTCTGTAATGTGACAACTTTAGAGCTGTCAGGTTTTCAGACAATGGTATGTATTCTGTCTTCACAGACTTGCTTCTTCTATACGTTTACCTTGTGGTGCCATTTCAGCATTATATATTTCAGATTATACCTGAGGAACCGGTTGAGTTACCAGAATTCAAGAACCTCAAGATCTTATCCCTTGACAAGTGTGATCTTAGTGACAACTTCCAGTTATTGAAGCACTTTCTGCAGAACTCGCCTAATTTGGAGAAGCTCACGTTGCGGCTTTGCGAGGTATTCATGCTCTTATTTTGGCCTTAACATTCTTACATAATTAAATTTGGCTCATTATTGGACATCCTTTACTATACTGCCAACAGCTGCCAAAGGATTCTAAGAAAAGGAAAGGGAAGGCCAAGGCGAAGAAAACACGTTTGGTGGATATCCGGTGTGAGAACCTAAAGCTTACTGAAATCATCTACGATGCTGATGATGTCCTCCAACTGGTCGGGCTTTTGCTGAACGATTCAGCAAATCTTCCTAAGAACAACATAAAACTCAGCAAAGTTGATCGTTAGTATGGTTAGTTCAGGCCCTCTTTTGTGATGACCGATTCTTAGGCCTCTCCTGAATTCACATGTCTTGTCTGTCTTCCGATGCACTGTCAGTTGTGTAGTTGAAATGCACCTATCTTTTGACTTGTCTAATCGGTTTAAGACTGCTCTGTTCTGTTAGCTATTGCATGTGTTCTTGCGCGCTGTGATGCTAGGTTAATGAAGTGATAGCGATTGATACTTATGGCTATGAACAGACCAATTTCTTACTATAGAGCATGTTCAAAACGTATGATGATCCATGCTCCTGGTTGCCTAGTACAATGTCTACAATGAGCACAGCAAAAGCACGTCTCTATTGAAATTTGCTGTGCCATGTTTTTTTAGGCCTTATACGTCTCTACAGCTAATATCATACTATCAACAAAACGATTTAATAAACAGCAGATTTATATGGGTATAGACGTATAATGGTGTTTCATATCCTAATTCATGGTGTGCTCTCTCAGCCCCTCCATTCTGAGATGCAAGATGTTTAGATTTTGTCGTAAGTTGAACTTATACTTGATCATACAGAATTTTTACAGGTACCTCAAGGAACTAGTACTACAGGGTACCTGTTGTCACGAAATTTTCTGCCTAACATGTCAGATGCCTAACGTGTCAGATGTGTGTTGATCGCGCCAACCTGAGGTATGGAAAATCTGCTTAGTTCCAATGTAGGATCCTAGATTTTGATGAGGTTTGATCCTGAGGTTTGATCGTGCAACTGATATGACATTGATGTAGCAGCGATTAGCCGATAGGTATAGGTTGAACAATCGGTTGTTGGAGACTTGGAAACCCAGATGTTGATAACAATTGCAGACTCGAGTCTCGGGTGTGCCAAAAGCGTGTGTCTGCTGATAGCCGATAGCTTGGTGTAGAATCGGTTGAAGGATTCGGTGCCAGTACTTAGCGCTGAACGCCTTTGGTTGTTGATGCCAACTGATGTTAATGGGACTTTGGACGATTACCTGAAAGCTTGTTGTAGAATTGGATCGGCTGGAAGTCCGATACAAATAGATTCAAATAGTTATATAAGAAATGAAGCCTTTGCTACAATTGGTTAAAACTAACTTATGTATAATTATTAGCAAACCTTTCTTTATGAAAGACAATCTTGATAGATTGGACTTAACCAAGATAGTATAAAATTGAAGTCGATATATATAGATTTATCTAACAACTACACTAATCTTTATAAGCCAATGTAACACTTAGAACCAGTAACCAGATAACTTATCGACTAGTACTCCGATGAAACATAAGCCTAAAAACTCTCGGCTTAACAAGACTTAGATTATCAGTAGCAATCTAAAAGATCAAAACTAACTGAGAGAGTATGAGATATAAGCAAACGTGATAGATATAACAAATCTATCTTAAAATAGCATTATGTTTAAAGAGACATCAACTTGATCATAATATCAGACCGAACCGAGGAAGTTCTAAGTCGATGTTACTCTAAACAACAATGCAATCAAAAGTAGAGACAATATATCAGATAGGGAACACTTGCTTCGGCCCGAATAGTATATTGGACCTAACTGAGGAAGTCCTAGTCACGCCGTTGTAAGCGAAGGTGATGTAACTTACTTCTCGCCGGAGGTCGGACTTAACCAACGTAGCCCATGCTCGAAACTAAGAACTCGCCGGGAGTAAACTAGGGTGACGATACGCCGAAAGTTGTATTGATCAACTGATATTTTACAATGATCTAGGATGTACATGTTTATACACCCATGGGTAGATGAGTGTTCGAAGCACCCATGGGTAGATGAGTGGTCGAAGCAACCTCATCCTAATGCTATTGAATGATGAGTCTTCGTTGAATGATGACAATAGATTTATTTTTGATATTTTTGAGGTGGTTCAAATAATGTATGGTAAGTACATTGAAGAATCGACAGGAGTGGGTCTGTCTTTAGACATGAGGTGATTGATCTTGATAAATTGGCTGATCATTGGAGAATATACCATGACTACTTTTCGAAAGAACCTATATACCTTCCTCTTTATTTTAGACGCAGGTGCGTAATAGTGAATACTCCCTCCGTCCCATAAAAAACCAACCTAGTATCAGATGTGACACATACTAGTACTATGAATCTAGATATACATATGTCCAGATTCGTAATACTAGAATATGTCATATCCGGTCATAGATTCGTTTTTTATGGGACGAAGGGAGTAGTATTTTTTCAATCTTGGTTTGAATTACCGACTTGAGTGCGCAGTGCCGTTCAAGTGCGCAACGCACGGGAAGTCCGCAAGTGCGTCGGAACCCGGGTTTCCCTTACCGTCGGTAACCGTGCGGTTACCGGGCTTACCGCGGGGGTACGGTAATATAAATACCGCAGTAACCTCCTTAAATTCAAATAAATTTTAAAAATAATTTAATTTTTTGATAAATTTTGCACGGTTTTTCGCGGTCACCGCGATAACCGTGCTTATCACTGGGGCGCGGTAACCCCGGCCCCGACGGTTTGGGAAACCCTGGTCGGAACACACTATTGCATCTTCGTGCCTTCGGGCTTCATCGGTTCATCCATGGTCCAACTGGGTTCATCCATGGTCCAACTGAATCAGCAACAGCCAACATGCAACAGATTACACATGGAATCATAGAGTAAAGGCAGCAATCAGGCATCAGCAGAAGCAGAAGTGCAGAACGACGGGCGTCGCCGTCGGTCGACGGCAACAGCAAGAGAAACCTGCGCGGCTCGGACGAAGTAATTAATTTGTTTCGTTTGATATTATGGAACGGATGAAGTAATTGTATGCATGCATACATACAATTAATTAGGACCTCTTCTACATTAAATTAGTACTTTTTTAAATCCTCCATCCTTAAGATGTCTAATTCTATTGAATGCATGTATTATACTCTCTCCATTCCAAAATATAAGACACAACCACCCTATATCCAAAGACCAAAAAACAATTATTATCACCTCTTTGTTTCAATAATCCCAACTAATACAATACATGCACCCAGTAGAATTAAGCATCTTGATTTAAAAAATAATAATCTAGGAGAGAGAATTTGCAATTAATTATCATGCATGCATGCACGCCTTATATTATGAAACATCTTTAAAAAGTAGTTGCGCCCTATATTTTAGAACGGATGGAGTATTTATTAGGGTGATCTAAACTAGGAGATGATAATAATTGTTTCTTGGTTTTTAGGTTAAGGGTGGTAGTGACTTATATTTTTGGAACGGAGGGAGTAGCAACCGGTACTCACGAACATGCGGACTCGCGAAGATATAGGAAACCAACAGGTTTGCTAGTGGTAGTTGGAAATTAACGAAGATCGGAAGATACTATGATCATATGATCATATGCAACAGTCCGGTCCGGTTTTGAAGCCTAATCCAGTACGTTTCGCTACCGAAGCTAAACAAGATGGAACAGCTAGCGCGCCGCGTAATACTCAGATCCGATCGATCAAAGCAACAACTCACAACTTCGCGCGCGCGGCGCGGCTCGGCTGGGGGCGTCCGCCATTGTCGTCGACCATGGAGATCGAGGGCTCCCGCAAGCGCAAGCGTACTCCCGCCGCCGCCGCCGCCGCCGAGGACCGGCTGAGCGAGCTGCCGGACTGCCTCCTCCACGACATCCTGTCCCACCTCAAGGCCCGGCAGGTGGTGCAGACGTGCGTGCTGTCGCGGCGGTGGCGCCACCTCTGGCGCTCCGTGCCGCGCCTCGACGTCGACTGCAAGGATTTCTGGTCGCCGCCGCCGGCGTCGACGCAGCAGCAGCAGCAGCACGCGGCTCTGTTGGCGGCGGAGTTCGCCAGGTTCGAGGACTTCGCCGACAACCTCCTGCTCCGCCGGAGCGCCGCCGCGCCGCTGGACGCCCTGCGCCTGCGCGTCGACGAGCGATGCCAGCGCACCACCTACGGCAGGTGGGTCCGCCGCGCCATGGTCATGCACGCGCCGGCGGCGCTCGAGGTCGTCCGCCNCTACGGCGGCGGCGGCGCCGCGGCGCCGCTCTTCGCGGCGCTGCCGCTGTCCCTGCCCTCCGGCTGCCACCGCCGCCTCACGAGGCTCTGCCTCGACGGCGTCACCCTCCCCGCGGGGTTCGACGCGATGCTCGCCTCGGGGTCGGGGCTCCCCGTCCTGGAGGACCTGGAGCTCAGGGCAGCCCACTACCCGTTCGCGCGGATCGCCTCCGCCACGCTCAAGAAGCTCGCCGTCGAGCGCTGCGGCGGCGGCGGCGCGGGCTACCTCACCAGCGACGACGGCGGCGTGGTCGTCATCTCCGCCCCGCGCCTCTCCTCGCTGCGCCTCGGCATCTACCTCGAGCCCAACTGGCCCGCCTTCGCCGTGGAGGGGCCCACGCCGTCCCTCGTCGAAGCATCGATCCAAGTCTTCCACGCCACCGCCATTGATGCACATGCACCTGAGCCGCAGATTACGCAGAGGATGAGCTTGCTGAAATCTCTTTGCAATCTGCTTGCTGGCATCTCCCACGTCAGTAGCCTAGAGCTGTCAGGCCTTCATGGACTGGTACGCGTCAAATCCTTCAATTCTCAATATATATAGGGAGTGGATTCTAATCCCTCGAGGGGATATCCCCTCGTATACCTTTTTCTTCTAAATTCGATGCAAATAGTTGTGAAAAAATCTGAAAAAAATTGACAATGTAGAGTATAATGATACCTATTAGTCCACCAAAATTCATGTTCAAATTCGATCTACACATCGAGAAACAAAAAAGACAAATTTAGATATAAACAGTACACTACTATTCATACGCTGAATTTGTCTTTTTTATATCTCGACGTGTGAGTTGAGTTTGGACTTAAGATTTTGTGAAGTTGTATATATGTGTTGTATGAATGTTGTCAAATTTTTCCAGAATTTTTCATAACCATTTAGATGGTTTTTGAGCAAACGAGGGAACATCCCCTCGAGGGATTAGAATAGTTTCCCATATATATATATATATATATATATATATATATATATATATATATTCCTCTTTCCGTTTTATATTTAATTCTTTAGTTAAACTTTATTAAGTTTGATCAAGTTTATAAAAAAAATTAGCAACATCTAAAATATCAAATCAGTTTCATTAAAATTAACATAAGATATACTTTGATAATATATTTATTTTGTATTGAAAATACCACTATTTTTTTCTATAAACTCTTTCAAAGTTGAAGAATTTTGACTAGGGAAAGAGTAAAACGACTTATAATATGAAAATGAGGGAGTACTTCGTTTTGAAACATCTGTGCCAAAGGAGTATTTCAGAAATTTCAGAACAACATTTTTTTTGAATTCTTAACAAATTTTGGTCAAATTTAAATAGATTTCTACCAAATTTAAAAACAAGAAGGAAAATTCGGGAAAAATAGTTTCATGCCAATACCGAGGATGCAAACATTTACTTCTGGCACTGAAACCGAACCGTATAAAATAAAAGAGAAATGTTACTATCCTTGAGGAGATATCAAGGAGTATCATAGTCGTATATCGTCCTAAAGAGAGATCGGACATTGAGAGGTGCCGTATATAGTATTTCGTAAAATTTGGTGCCTCAAGGACATAACAAAGACTCTAGAGGGATTGTTCCTGTTACATTATCATTGATTTGGTAATTCTGAACTAATTAACTGTTCCTATAATTAACTAGCTACTCCTGGTTTTCTGTATTTCAGGTGATGCCATTGCAAGGAGAGGGAAATGATCCTTACAATCAAGCACCAGCAGGCCAGCACTATCATAATCCAGACAAGAACCTAGCTCAGTATTATCAAGCATTGCCTCCCATCTTTCAGTATCAACAACCAGTTCAGTATTATGATATACCACCACTCCATCCTCTCTTTCCACCTTATAATTACCAGCATCCTAATTGGGCGGCGCAACACCGTCAACCTATGCCCCTGTTGCAAACAATGCTGGATGACAACCATGGCGGATTGCCGGTGTTCTCTAACCTAACAACCATGGTGCTTCGCGAGTGCAATATCCATGTAAATGACAGCATGAAAATGCTGTGGCGTTTCCTGCAGAACACCCCTGCGCTGGAGAAGCTCACTCTTCAGAATTGCAAGGTAAACAGCATGCAAACTTTTATTTCCTTTTAGTTAATTTACCTTGCAATATATGTATACATCTTTAGAATTTTGACTCTATTAATATTTGCTTTGGTTTTACTAATTAATATACATTTGTCGTTGCCGAAAATAGTTCTCAAATGGTGCTGATGTTAGGAAACATGGTCCTAAGTTGAAGATCTCTTCCAGCTTAAAGTTTGTGGATATCATATACAAAGATGTGAATCACCATGATGGCGAAGAAGATGAGTATGAAGACGAAGATGAAGACAAAGATGAACATCCTGAGGAAGTTAATAAGGTTTTGTTCATAATGTCAAGAAAATTGAAAGATGTTACTGTCAAAGTTAAGAAAGTAGATGGATATCAATAGTATTTTTAGTTGTTTTCCGTTGTTGGGAAAAACCATTGTATTTAATCTATCGCGTACAGTTTGTCTACTTCGAAACTTAATCGCTTACTATTTTTCTCGCATGAATCATGAATGGATAATCACATATACTGTTCATAATAGCAAATTAAAACCATTTGTAACAAGTTGTTTTAATGATATTCATAGATTTATTAGAGTGAGTAGTATGTGAGCGTGGTGGATCCAACAATCCAACCCCAAGTCATGGATGTAAAATTATACTCCCTCCGTTTCAAAATGTTTGACACCGTTGACTTTTTAGCACATGTTTAACTGTTCGTCTTATTAAAAAAATTTATGAAATATGTAAAACTATATATGTACATGAAAGTATATCTAACAATGAATCAAATGATATGAAAAAAATAAATAATTACTTAAATTTTTTTTGAATAAGACGAATGGTCAAACATGTGATAAAAAGTCAACGGTGTAAAATATTTTGAAACGGATGGAGTAGTATTCTACTGTAATCAGGCAATACGAATTACGAAGCGCACTCGTTTATGATCCAACCATGGGATACAAAGCTCCTGAATTCCTGATGCTAACGAATGCACAGCTTTTGTAGCTTGATATCTATTGAATGAAATTGACGTGTCGCCCGTTTGTTAAAATAAACTTTTACAGCTTGATCGTTGGGCCCAAACAAAGTGATAAGTCGTAAACACAGAGCAACAAAAAATAATTTATGAATATTTTTTTTCATTTACGGATTAGCAATTTAAAAGCCAGTTCTGAAAAATAAGCTACGATATGAAAACCTCAAAATTATCTTTAAAATCAAAATTCGGTTGCCCATGGGTTTGTAATTGAGAAAAAAAAATCCAAGACCATTAGTTTTTTTTGGACAAATTAAGACCATAGTACCTGGTTTGTGGGCTTAAATTAGATTGGGCCGGCCGTGCTGAGAAGCCTGAGATTTGGCCAGGCCTGACTGGCGAGAAGGCCCAATTTCATGCTGGGCCCACTCTCTGCTTCCTGGGTCGCCCTCCTCCGTGACGCACCTTGACTGCCCCCGGTTTTTCCTAATCTCCGATTTAATTAACTTTTATCCCCAATTATATCCCCTCCTTTTATCTAATTTCCTTTCCTTATTTTTTTTCCTCTCTCTCTCTCTCTCTCTCTCTCTCTCTTTTCCCCCACCTCGCTCTCTCCTCTCTTCCTCTTCCCCCAATCTCCGACAGTTGCCAAATTTCCCTTCCCACCCCCAAACCCAAACCCCAGCGACGACGGCGACGACGCGCAGCAGACGAAAGCGAGCGAGAGGCGAGAGAAATCCCATCGTTTCCCAAACCCTAACCCCCTCCTCCTCCTCCTCCAGATCTCGGCGGCCGCGCGGCTGATGCGAGGTGAGCCCCGTCCGCCCTAGGGTTTGCGGCGGGGTGCGTGGTGGTGGTGGTTGGGCCGGGGGGGACGGGGCCCTCCTGCTCGCGGGGGTGGGGGTTGGGTGGGGATGGCGGCGGCGCGCGCGCACGTGAAGGACCCGGCGCACCGGACCAAGGTGGTGCTCCGGAGGCTGCCGCCGGCGATCGCGCAGCAGGCCGTCGTGGAACAGGTCGACGCGCGCTTCGGCGGCCGGTACGACTGGTCGTGCTTCCGCCCCGGCAATGCCAGGTAACGCGCGATTCCTCTCGCCTTGCTCCCTCCGTGTGCGTCGTGCGGGTGCGTGCGTGCGTGCGTGCGTGTGGTTGGGGGGCGTCGGGGGCACGTTTGGTCTGTAGCTAGGGATTGGGTTCGAAGCTGTTTATTAGCCTGCGAATTGTGTACGGGGAGGTACCACCCCATGAAATTTCGTTAGTAGATTTCATTGGCTGGTTTTGATTGAGTAGCTGTGGCCAGCAATTAGCATTCTATAATCGTGCAATTTACAGATACAAGTTTGGACTGTTTGCCTCTATCTAGTGCATTTGGTTATGTCTAGCAACAAATAGGTTGCTGTGATCAAGTAGTTACTGAGTTTTAAGTTTGCAATCCTAACTGATTGTGGGCCATTTACAGTTCTTTCGCGTTGTTGTGATCTCGAAGCATAGTGGATTGTGTACTTCAAATTGTAGCTAGGATATTTTGGAGGTGTATTTTAGTTTATTCTTATTAGATTTAATATTAGCTGTGACCAAATTATTGCTTGGAGATAGTGCCCACCTTCTTAGTTTTGTTGCATAATTTTAGCTGTAAGTGAACTAAATGTGCTTTTGATTGCAGCTAGTATAAGTGAGGTCAATATGTTTTTTTTTTATAAAAAAAATTACCTTACCTTGCCATTTTGGCTGCTGGAGTAAGAGGTTTTGTTCTGTTTGTTCATTTTTATGCTTCTGTAGGATTGCCTTAAGACATGCTAGTTATAGAGAAAATTTCCTATAAGAAAACATGCACACTGCAAAACTACTTGGCAGCATTGAGCCTTTTTTAGTTTGTGCTGAGTGATGTGCAACGTACTGTGGCCATTCGTATGTAGCTAGTGATTCAATTGTTATGTCTGCAATTCTTAACTCATTGCCGTGGAAGCTAAATGATAGTGGCATTCTCCACTTCATTTTTATTCTCATTTTTCTGACAATGTTATTGCTTGTCCAGCCAAAAGAATCACAGATATTCTCGACTCTACCTTAACTTCAAGGGCCCAGAAGATGTCGTTGAATTTGCTGAGGTCTTCAATGGTCATGTGTTTGTGAATGAAAAGGGTAACTTTCACATTTATGTACCAACGTTTCTTTTTGCCATGCAAATTTATATTCAGGATTCAGAACTTATATTCTGATTATGTCAATGTTGTCACTATCAAAACTAGATACACATGTAGCAATATAAGCAGTGTGGATCTTTGTACAAACTAATAGTGCAACATAGAGAATCAGAATGAAATTGCAATTATTGAGCATTTACATAGTCTTTGAATTGGAGATTGATCTTGTCGAATAGGATTTTGGGACTAAACAGTAGGTTTTGCATATTTTTCCCTATTCAACTTATTGATGTCTAGTATTATTTTTCCCTTTTTGATTAGTGCGCAGCAAAGAAAATATTCAACTGTAACTATATAAATTCCAATATTATGGAAATAGTTTAAATTGAGAAGGCCCAACATTGTTGTTACCATTTTTGGTGTTATTAGAGATATAGAGGTCTCACTGTGGCTGTTATAGCGTCAATTTTCTAGGTACTTGATTTTGCTATAAGTTTCCTTTTATATGTTGTCCAATTATTCCATTCCTAAGCACAGAGTTTCCTTTATATCTAAGCTTGGGGGCAACTGTGGTGTATTCTGGTCTTTTCTCCTTTACTAGTACAGTTGAATATGCATTCAAGCTACCTAAGTATTTGCCAACATACTTGTCTAATGTTGTGTAATGCTGTGACAATAAAGTACTATGATAATACTATACTTCTGTTAGGTTCTCCAAATATATCACAGTAGAAATTGATAACCTAACTTGCATTTTGGAGGCTGGAGACCATCCTACAAACACCACCTTTTGTTACTATTTATTGGTTACTGATGTATGTTATTGCTATTCTTTCTTATACACTTCATAGCATTTTAACATTTTCAGATGCCTATTTTCAGCATGCTGGTATAATTGACATTCATGTTAAGTTATTTTCTTATTTTTGGTATTCAAGTTAAAAAAGAGGTTGACTTTTGATGGTTGCAAGCAAGCACTGCTTATAATGTGATATATTTTAGGTCGGAACATAAGTTAATACTTTTAATGTAATCAAGGTGTTGAGTTTTCCTTCAACAGTCGAGCACATGCTTGTAAATTTAATTTTGGACTATGCTTTTTTGTTTTAAATTTTATTGTCATGCATGCGGCCTATGGTTCCTGTCAGGTGCTCAATTTAAAGCTCTTGTGGAATATGCACCATCGCAACAGGTCCCCAAGTCAAACACGAAGAAAGATGCTCGTCAAGGAACTATAATGAAAGGTCCTAGACAATCATTTAATCTCATTCTCCATCCTGTAGGTGACACAATTTCATATTTATCATTACTTCAAACTTAGCTGGCATCTTTTTTGGGATTTAATATCCAGATCCGGAATACTTGGAGTTTCTTGAATCGATTTCAAAGCCTGCTGAGCATCTGCCAAGTGCTGAAATTCAGCTCGAAAGGAAAGAAGCTGAAAGGGCAGGTAAAGTATTGTTTGTAATATCAGATTATAATTATGCCTTTCAAAGATGCCAAGCATAAAAGAAGGGTCTATTATCAACTTGATCACTATTGCAGCTGCTGGAAAGGAACCACCTGTTGTGACGCCTCTTATGGTCTATGTTCGCCAGCAAAGGGCAGCTAAGAGTATGGCTCAGGTATACGTGTTCATTAAACTGTAGTATTGGTTTATATTATATTTTATCAACTTGAGGGTCGGCTAACTAGTACTTCCACATGTTACAGAGATCTGGAAGTAGTAGACTCAGTAGAAAAGTTGCGGGTGTTGTTACTAGCAGTCCTAGTCCTTCTAAAAGGGGTTCTGAGAAGCGCAGGACCTCTGCTTCGACGGTAAATTTCTTGCTTGAAAAAAATAGTACAATTTTAAATGGCCACAAGAGGTGGGGCTTCATTTTTTCATGCATATATTTTCATAGTCTGGTCTTGGATTTCATGAAATGAACATATCCTATGTCATGTTTTCTTCACGAAATACTACTATTTTAAATGGTCACAAGAGGCGGGACCCATCTATTTTATTTCCCGATAGGTTCTTTTTATTTCTTTTAATATTTATTGCCCTTTCTCGCCATGGTGTTCGCCCTAATTTCAGTTTGTTTGTACTATCGACCTATGTCATGTTTTCTTTGTTCAAAACAAAATCCTGTCCCCAGTGTGCATTTCTGTTTGTGCTACTGTTTGTGTATTGTATGCTCTTATATGTTTTATACTCCCTCTGTTTCATCTTATAAGTCGTTTTGACTTTTTTCCTAGTCAAACTTTGTTAAGTTTGACCAAGTTTATAGAAAAATTTAACATCTAAAATATCAAATTAGATTCATTAAATCTAGCATTGAATATATTTTGATAATATGTTTGTTTTGTGTTAAAAATATCATTATATTTTTCTAAAGAAGTTTGACTAAGGAAAAAGTTAAACAACTTATAATATGAAATGCAGGGAGTATATTTTATTTCTGGGCTATTGTTGTGAGTTTTCATCTATTCTTTTTCAACCTTTGAACAGTGCACTGTGTCTCAGTTTGGTTATTTTGGGTTTCATGCTGCATTGTTATAAAAAGTACCCAGTTCATTCCGCACAAAAACTATGCCATGAGGTTATGACAAGCTACTGTTTTTGTCTTTTTTTCATGTGATCTTCAGCAATATGTTCTACGAGAGAATGCTAAGGAGAAGCCAACTTATATCTTAGTGCCAAAGAGAGACGAGCATGCGCAGAGGGAAAAAGGTACTGCTGGAACTTCAGGTGGTACTGATTCAAGAAATAGATAATCACTATAACTTTGTTGTAACCATTCATATCAACATGTCCTTTTATTTTATTGATTATTACTAAGTATCTGTTCTCTGCTATAACATATCCATGCCTATATATGCTGATAAAAGGTTGTATCAACTAATGTATAGTTTGAGCTGAGTTAGGTAATAGGGTGATGACACTGATTGATTCAATTCTGTGAGAACTGAGGCAAGATCAAGTTGATCTTATTATGCTGTGTTGCATGGTGAAATCTAGCTATATGAAACCTGTACAATTTAAGTAAATAGGTTAAATCTTAGTTGTTTTTATGACTATTCCAAAACAAAAACTAAAACCACTGCAATGCTAAAAGCACCATCAACATAGACAAGTTTAGTTTGGGCTTGTTTACTTATTTGGCATAATAGCTATTGTGTTGAGATAGGCCTGTGGACATTTGTATGGCTACCTGCCATCCAATTATGGCAATGGCGTACCTTGTTGGGTGACATCTACTTTTGCTACACTACGTCAATGTCCTATCCTATAGAAAATGGATTTCATTTTGAACTTCCATCATTTTGTCTTTGCATGGAGTTCTATTAGTCAGTTACCTTTCCAAGAAGTGTATAGTATTATTCTTGTCGTCTTCTGTTAGCCTCTATCCTTCCAATTTGTAAATTGTTGATGTATGCTATTTTTGCACTTTCTGCCCATATGTCTTGATGAAAGTTCCTTTTTAGTTGTTAATATTGCTGTTTCGTTCAATTGTCTCGTAGATGCTACAAGTGGCGGGATTTCTGGTTCTGCTCATGTCGCGGAAAACAAAAAAGAGAAAATTGTGCTTTTGAAAGGAAGAGCAAGGGTCGATTCTAATGTAAGTATATAAGCTCCACGAATAGTTTGACCATTTTGTTGGTAACTGTACTGACTGTCATTTGATATGTTTTTTCCAGACATCTGATGTCACATCTCAGCAGCAGTCAGGGACCCCTATGAAAAATGCTGCACAATCTAGTTCTAGGCAAGATCCGCGGCTTGAGGGCAGTGGCAGAATTATTAAGACTATACTTTCAAACAAGGAAGGACGGCATGTGGTTACGTCTCAACATGATCAGGAAGGTCACATAATTACAGCTGAGAAGCGCCCACCACGGATTCCAAACCCACGTTCCGTTGTTAAAGATCAGGTAGTTGAAAATGCTGAGAAAAACCATTTGGATGACAAACATAGTCATCTCCATGGTTCTGGGCTCATCAGTGAAAAGACTGAAAGACATGCTAGAAATAGAGATAGGCCTGATCGTGGTGTATGGGCCCCTCGTCGCTATGACAAATCTGCATCAGGTGGGACGCATTCCTCGTCATCTGAGTTCTCACCAATGCAGCAACATTCTGGTGAAAATTTCTGTCAGCAAGCAGATGGTAAGATTCCTTTTGAAGCGATTTTAGTACTGTTCATTTGAGTTCTTGAGTTATTGTATTATTGAGGGTGAATAGCCAATTCAGTCCTTAAACTTTTGCTCATGGGTCAAATTAGTCCTTGATGTTTTACGTTGTCCAAACAAATCCCTAAAGATTATCATGTGGCTTAAAACGCCACATGGACATGCCACATCATTCATGCATGTACAGTCAACAATTAAATATCCATTTTACCCTTACATTTTCTATAGAAAAAAGAAAAAAAAAAGGAAAACATGAAGAAAGCAATCTTAAAACAAAAGAAAAATGACACATTCTTTAGTTACCAATGCAACATCTTTTTCTTAATTCTTTTTATTTATTTCCTATGGAGAATGTATAAGGGTAGAATGGACATTTTAAATGTTGAATTTGCATGCACATGTGATGTGGCATGTACACGTGGCATTTTTATGGGTCCAAGGATTATATTAAATCACACTATAAAGTTTGGGGACTTATTTTGGCCAATATGAAATGTCAAGGACTAAATTGATCCTTAAGTGAAAGTTCAAGGATCATGTTGGTTATTCACCCTATTATTAATTATGTGACTTGATGATGCAAAGCAGGCCATGGAGAGAGAAAAATAGACCCAAGGGGTCATGGTGGTATTCGCGGAGGCCCTGTGGAAAATGGTTTGTATATTTAGTTGTTGCAATTATGACCATGAAAAATGATGCAAACTGTTCTCCAGATCATTTTCTGTACTATGGTTAATACTGTCAATCTTCAATTCAGGACATAGACATGCTAACCGCCGTGGTCCTCCACGTGGTCTGAAGGAGATGGAAATTTCTGCAAGCACATCTGATGGAAAGCCTTCAAAGAGAGCCTCTGCCAACTATGGTGCTCATGAGGTGTGATCAGAATATAGTTTTTTATTCTGCCTTTGACATTTCAAGGGCCTATGTTTTGCGTGAAATGATTTTTATTCACTAGATTTCTTATAATATATGAATGTTATATGTAGAGGCAAGTGTGGGTTCAAAAATCAAGCTCGGCGACGTGATCTTGTCCAATGATGGTAAACTATTTGTGGTCCAGAAATTTTGTTTTGGTCTTTGGTTATCAAAACACATGCACCACAAGAAAAAGAATTACTAGAAGTGTGTCACCAAATACACGCTAATTTATTTGCTCTTTTGCAGATACTCATCAAAACAAATATTGCAAGTTGTGGAGTTCTGGATTTTGCAGCTTGATCCTGTGAAGTACTGTTAACAAAATGCCCCCGATCATATGCTTCCATGAAGTGCAATCTCAGATTTGTCAATCGAAATCTCAGCTTTAGCTGAAAAGGGAGCTTATATGATTTGATTCACAGCAATAGTGAATTAACATAACCCACTTTAGGTAGCTCTTGATTGCTTTGGGTGAGACTTGATTTGGGCCCAAGGTTGCTATTCTGGAGCAATGGAAGGATTTAGGTTGGCATCATTACCCTCGTGACAGTGGTCACATATTTCTGAGACCCCTGGAGAATATACACGACCTCAACTAATCAGAGATGGGTGTACATATCTCTAGAGAAAGAAGAGGTCTGGTTCTGACTTCTGTTCGCAGGTTAGCGGTGCCATGTATCTACAAAAGAGATAAAAAAAAGTTATCAGACTGCCTGGTTTGCTAAATAAAAGTGAATTAGTTGATAGATTATGAGAATCCACTGTTTAGGCGGCTGCGACCGTGGTCACCAACAGAAGTTACCCTAGAGTGCAAAGTGGCATCTCATTTTGGTTTTGTGCCCCTGCCCCCCCTGAGTAACGGGATGTGGTATTGTTTTGACATGTGGATGTTGATGGTGTGCGTCTTCCTGTTAATGTTTCACCAGATAATTATGGGGGTATTGTTAAGAATGATGATATGATGTACAGCATCAAAGGTGCTTGCTGTTTTAATCTTGAGCAAGTTGTCGTGCTTCTATGAAATGTGATTGTTAACAATTCGTTGGGTGCCTTAATCTCTTCTTTCTGAATGTATTTTTCTCCTGCTAGGAAAAGAGCAGTTGTTCTTGTGGAGCTATGGCCTGTTCAGTTTTTGCTACTTTTAACACTACCAAAATTTGGTACTACCTTCATTGCACAATGTAAGTCATTCTAGCATTTTCTACATTTATATAGATGTTAAAGAATCTAGATATATATAACATCTATATGAATATAAGAAATGCTAGAAATGCTAGAATAACTTATATCGTGAAACGGAGGGAGCAGTGTTCAAACTACATACCATTGCCAATGCTAACCTGTTGAAAATTATTAATTTTGAAAGCTTCTACTCTTAAAAACACAACCGAAATTTGTTTAAGCTTGGAAACCAAATATATTCAACACTATCAAGTGTTTAAATTGTTACTATCTCGCAGTTCAGTAAAATTTTCATTGCATTCGATATGACAATAGCTAGGAAAGAAAGATCTCAATATTAGTGTGCTCATTAAGCTATAGTTTTCGGGATTTTAATCTCACGAAAACGTACGGGGCCAGTTTGTATCTCATGTATTGGGCCTCGAAATCTGGTATCGCAGCCCAATTCGCGGAGGTGGGCTGTATGGGTCGCGCTGGATTTTAGTATCAGTGGATCCAACCTAAAATACCCATCTGGATTTCGCCGTTAACTCCTCTCGGAGTCTCGGGCCCTTCGCTCCTCTTCCTCGCGAGTCGCTGGACGAGGTCGCCGCCGGCGACCCTCACCGCCGTCGCCGTCGGTCGCCGGCTCGTCGCCCCTGCTTCCTTCGCTCGCTGCCCGCCTCATCCACGGGTCTCCTCCCCCTTGCCGAATCCTAGGGATTTCTCCGCGTCAGGAGGCCTCCTCCCCTTGCCCGAGACTAGGGTTTGCTCCGCGTCGAATCCGCGCACCACCTGGACGCCGCCGCCGCGATGCAGAGGTACGGGCTGCAGCTCCGCACGAAGCCGGCGGCGTCCTCGTCGTCGCGGGCGCCGCCGCCGCCGCCGGCCCGCCCCCTGGCGGCCTTCGCCGACGATGGCGACGATGACGTGGAGGCCGACATCCTCCGGCAGTCGTACAAGAAGCGATCCCAGCAGAAGGTAACTAGCTCGAATCCCCTCCCCCCAACCCCTCCACCGTCGCCGGCTGGGCCGTGCGGGTCACGAGTAGATTGACTTACTTATTACCCTTGTTTGGGGTTTGCGTTGCGTGCTGAAGGTGGAAGAGCAGCAGAAGAAGGCGATGGAAGAGGATCCCTCGGTGTTCGCCTACGACGAGGTTTATGACGACATGAAGCAGAAGGCCGCCCTCCCCAAGATGCAGGACAGGGTAGTTCGCGAGGTAAGTCTCCCTCTGATTTGATTACTTAATTCTCTTGGTGCTTTGTTTATGGTCACCGGGATGTTCCAAAGAGTATACATTATTAATTTTTAGTGAAGGGGTTGTATTATTTCCCCTCGTGGTACTGATTTAATGATGGATGTGAGGCAGTCGGGTTTTACTTTTGTTGCTGAAGCTTAGAGATTTTGTGCTGTTTGATAAAAAAAAAGCAGTAGTTGTTGCTTGAGCATAGGGAGTTTCATTTTTGGGGATTAGCAGCTGCCAGCTGGTATGTTTGCTAGATGTATATTGGAGCATACTTCAGGGCTAACTGAAATCTACCTTCATGGTTGATTGTCGGTAGTGCAAGTTTGTGATTTGCTATTTTTACAAGGAATTGTTTGGTTCTCCCAAATGTGCACTAGCACAGAGAGTATGTAAATGGCTACTCATCGTTTGAATGCTATGCTTCTCTCAGTCAAAATACATTGCGGCACTTAAGGAGAAAGCCGAACAACGTAAACGAGAGCAGGACATTATTTATGAGAGGAAGCTTCAAAAAGAGAGGAGTAAGGAAGACCACCTATATGGTGACAAAGACAAATTTGTTACATCTGCCTACAGGAAGAAACTTGAGGAGGAGCGGAAATGGCTGGAGGAAGAGAAGCGGCGGCAGCTTCAAGAAGAAAAGGAAGATGTAAGCTTTTCTCAATTTTTTTTCATGACTCTTGATTATGTGCATGTTTATCTCCATAATTTATTTCTACCAATGCTTCTTGTGTTGTCTCTTGTGAGGTTGGTCATAACAAAATTATGCATTAAACTTGATATTAATTGAATTGTTGTAATGTTTATAGTCAAACTCTTTAGTTTGAGTTCACAATCTTCAAATTCACACTAGTGTGCTGCATGCCCCATCTGTCTTGCTAGAAGAGTACGAGAGAGAAAAGAGAGGACCTTTTCACTTATTTTTATGTTATATTGCTATGCAAAATTGTAAACCTACCTTTTTTTATATGTTTTTAGCATTCTTTTTAAAGGACTGTCTTCACTTTGCTTTTTGCTGGTTACGAAAAACACTATCTTCTGGTTGCTGCTTACACAAGCAACCTTTCGGGAATCTGAAATATGTTTGTTGATCACCAAATTAATGCAATAGTTTTGTTTATCTCCAAATCAGATACTCCCTCCATCTCATAATATAAGGCGCGCATGCATTTGAAGTTTCAACATTTCAAACATTTGACCAACACTTAGTATAATATAAAATGAATTTTATTTGTTAAAAATTATACCATTAGATCGAGATTTAAATTTACATTCATATGGTTATAATTTTGTTACTACAAACCTTATGGTATATGAGAAATTATAAGCTAAACATTCGTTTTGAAGACCGTGCCAACTTTGACCGCGCCTTATATTATGGGATAGAGGGAGTATTTGCTAAGATAAAATTACTTCTAATGGTTCACAACAAAAAATTCTTTTGGCTCACTGTAACTGATTACGTTTCCTTCGTCTATTTTTGTACAGGTTACTAAGAAGAAAGACTTGAGTGATTTTTACTTTGGTCTTAGTAAGAATGTTGCTTTCGGTGCACAGACACATGACAATACAAAACATGCTAAACCTGAAAAGTTAGACGAGAAAGTTCAAGATGCTAAAACTAGCAAGGTTGGTGCTGAAGTATCCGATCGCTCTCCTAAGCACAAAAGGGACTCCGGTGAAGGAGCAGAGACGGCCAATGAAAGTAGAAGTGTGGAAGAACCTGCTACAACTCAATCAAGGGATTCAGCTGCTGCTAGATCTACCGAGAAAAATGCAGATGTTTCCTTGGATGCTCCTCAGACCCAGACACCAGAAAATACCCAACCAGCTCCTCAGACCCAGAATCCACAGAATACTCAACCAGCACAGATCACGGATGAACACTATAAGAGAAATGCTGATGCACTTGCTGCTGCCAGAGAAAGAGCTCTGGCGCGGAAGAAAGCCAAAGCGCAGCAGATATGAAGTACGAGGCAGAGATACTCACCGAGTTTTTTCTTATAGGCTAAGGTCATCATATTCTTGTTTGAGGTTTCGGGAAGACTGTAAAATGATGGATGGTTTCACCCTTCTAGCATTTCCAGGAGATAATCCCCTTGGTTTGATCTGCATGATGCTCTACCTTGCTTGATCAAAATATATGTGCAGGCAACCCTTCAACGTTAGAATATCTCGTTCGGCTTTTCTGAACATTTGTTCTGCTGTAAGATGGGAAATAACTTAGCACAGTGAACTGAAGGTTGTATGCATATGTTCTCATTCATGTATACCGTTGTACTTTTGTAACTTGAGTGATTGAACGCGATATGATTTCTGCAATGGCACAAATTACTACTACTAGTTACACTCCATTCCATGGTGAACGGGATTACTTTAATTTTCTCTCTTCTCTCAAATTCAGAACCAAAACATTGAACTTTGTCAGTTAATAACAAGGCATAAAAGTTGTTTATTCGACTTTACTGGATTTCCCTTTTCATTTTTTGAACTGGCCCGAATTGCATTTTGAGATATTCGAATTTTGAAACATCGCATCTTAATTAGTAGTAGTATTATTTTTTTTCATCAGTGGTTAAATGTTGCTGTCTGCAATTAGTGCCTGAAATGAGCCGCTGACAGTCTGAAACTCTGAATGTCCCGATAGCGATGGATACTAGCCCCACGCAGCGGAAGGCGATGACTCCCCTCCGTTTCAGCTTCCTATCACTCACCGCAGGGGTAAAAGGGGGAACGTAGCCTACACAACACGAGCCCGAGGTCTCTCGTCGACTCACGCGCGCACCCACCCACCCAAAACCCTAGCGCGAGTGGGGAGGGGCGAGGGGGTGGTAGTTGTAGTAGCAGCAGCAGTAGAGCTAAGCTAGGGTTTTCCCTCCCCCCGCGCGCGCAGCAGGCGGCATGGAGAGCCTGGTCCTCGCCTCCTCCTGCTCCGCTTCTCCCCGCCTGCCTCCCCTCTCCGCGGCCCGCCGCCGCCGCCCCTCCTCGCAGACTCTCCCGGCGACGGCTGCGGCGTCCGGGCGGAGGGGAGCTGGGAGGTCCAAGCTCGTCGTCGTCGCCGCCGCCGCCGCCGCGGCCCGCGGGTCCGGGAACGGTGAGGGGGGTGGTGTGCTTCTGTGTGGGTGTGCTTCCGTTTTAGGTTTGTTCGTTAGATGCGAGCCGGATGCGCTCTTTGGGTAGGTGCGCGCTGAAAGCTCTCGTATGCGCTCGCTTCAAGTGTCCGTGCTATAGTGTTTTTTTTTGTGGGATTGTCAGGAATTTTATTATACTCTGTGTATCAGCTGGATCCATCGCTGTGCCATGGGCTTCGTTAGTGGAATTGAGTGTGTTATCCTTGCGAATTTAGTGACCTTAAGTCATGCATCCGTGATGGAATACTGTCTTTATTTTCGTAGTATGGTGGCAGTTGGTGAGTTAGTAATGGCCACCTTATCCAGTATTGGTAGTGTGGCAAATGATGAGTACAAAATGGTCAGCATATCTGTCCTTGTTTGTAGTAATAGCCGACGAATAGACAATCCCAATCAGCTTAGGATTTCCCCCATTTTAATCTTATGCTGCCGGAGGATCTCCATTATTCTGATTGTTTAGTTGTAACAACAGGTTTCGAGGGATTAAAGACAAATGGATTTGCAAGCATGTCGTCTTCGACCAACAGTGAGAATATGTCAACTGGAACGGGTTCCCTACCTCCCATGCCACCCCCATCGTCATACATGTGCGCCAGTTTCCCTTCTTTTGTCTGGCTACAATTTTCTCAACTTACACTGCATGATGACATGTAAATCCTTTGTGCAGCGGTTCGCCTGTTTTCTGGATTGGAGTTGGTGTAGCATTGTCCGCAGCATTTTCTATGGTGTGAATACAATTACCTGTAATGCTTTTTTGTGATTAAATGTTCTTAGAGTTGTATTTTAATACTTGGTGTTGGCTGTTATATCAGGTCTCTTCGATGGTAAAGGTGAGTTCACAACTTTCCTCTGTTTCTACATCTTCAAATGGTATGTACCCTATCAATTGCATACTTGATCTTGAGAATGACCCATGGTCACCTCTGCATACTAGTACATAAGCAAGAGAGGTATTTTAGTGAGCTTTTTTTGTGATGAACCTACATACCCACATGTGAGCCATGCCTTCCTTTCTAGTTCTTAATAGTTTGAAGCAATGCATGGCATATGTTCTAGCAAAGGTGGTACTGTTGCAGTGTACTCCCTCCGTACTCGTAAAGGAAGATGTTAGGACAATGTTTAAGTCAAACCTTGGGAATATAAATCATGAATAACTCTCAAGTTGTTGAGTTTGAAAATGTAAAAATTATATGAATAGATTTGTCTTGAAAAATACTTTCATAAAAGTATACATATATCACTTTTCAATAAATATTTTTATAGAAACAAGAAGTCAAAGTTGTGTTTTGGAGACCGTGTCGCTGTCCAGAACGACTTCCTTTACGAGTACAGAGGGAGTATTGTAGTTTTGTTAGACAATTCATTTTCTTATCACATAATTTCTAGTTCTTTTCAATATTGATAAAATAGCATAATATCCATGCATTGTGATGGATGTCAAAACAATTTGGTGTACTCCCTCCGATTCCATAATTCTTGACGTTTTGGACAAGGTTGAGGTCAAATTTTTATAACTTTGACTACCAATAACTTTAAAAATATTTAGTTTAAAGGTACTAGAACAGCATATTTAGATTTGTCTTATAAAGTACAATAATAAAAGTAAAAATATATATATTTATTATATATTATAATAGAAAAACATAGTCAAAGATATATTTTGAAGACCGTGTCATTGTCCAAAACATCAAGAATTATGGAGCCGGAGGGAGTACTCACTAAGATCAAATTTTTTTATATATAAAAGACTAAAGGAAGTCCTCTAATGTAAATTCTGCATGTAAAATATGATCATATCACCTCACCCAGCTTCAAAATATTGGCATGTAAAATAGTGCAATATTTTACAAAAAAAACCTATAAGTAACACACATGTATACATAAATTCACCCATAAAAGATCCAAAGTGAGGATGATACAGCATCATCACTTCCACTAGTTCTTTTAATTACTAGAGAGTTAACATTGTTGCACCACTTCTTTTCTCGAAAGTATATCGTGATGTATCCATTGTTGCACTGATTTAATTAATACAATGTTCTCTTTGTAGGTTTGATCTGTATAATGTCTTGTTGGAACTTAAAATCGTATAACTCTCCCTTGCTTGCCAGTTTTGACACATTGCTAATTCTGATGCAGAAATATGCAATGCAACAAGCATTCAAGTCAATGATGACCCAGGCACCGCCAAACACTTTTGGCTCAAACTCGCCTTTCCCATTTGCCATGCCACCACAGGCAGCTCCTGCAGCTCCTAGCAGTTACCCATACTCACAACCAAGGAAAGATACCTCTCCTCAATCTGCAACTGTCGATGTTTCAGCTACTAAAGTGGAAGCAACTGGAACTTTGGAAGAGGCTGATGTGGCTGAACAGCCAAAGAAGAAATTTGGTATTGGCCGTTTATCTCTGAGAATTCTTCTCCAACTATCAGTGAATAGGGGATGGAGCTTGTGATTAGTGTCTAATCTTATGTTTTCTTCATACTTTTGTCATGCATATCTCATGTTATTGTAACAAAATGTTTGCAGCCTTTGTTGACGTTTCTCCTGAAGAGTTGCAGCAAAAGGAACTTCAATCTTCACTGGAGACAGTGGATGTAAAAAGTGAGAGTAAACAGAGTGAAACTATGGAGGATACTGAGCAAAAAGTAAGTTGCATGAAGAAGCTTTGTAATAGGCTCCAAGTACAATTCAACTAATCATTTTCAATGATCTTCATAGGCTCCAACAAATGGAACTGCTTTTAAGATGAATGAAGGTTCTGCTAGCGGGACAACTGAATCTAGTAAGTACTATTATCATTAGCACATTTTTATTATTCACATTTAGTTTTTTTATTTGTGTTTCTGTTTAAGGATTTTTAGTTATCTGCTGTTGATAAATGTCCTAAACTGATTATGTATGTAGGCAATTCAGGGCCTATGTTGTCCGTTGATACAATTGAGAAAATGATGGAAGATCCAGCCGTGCAGAAGATGGTTTACCCGTAAGTTTGGGACCAATATAAGTCAGAATTTTGTCTACATGAATACAGGGTTATACACCTTTTACTGATGTTAGATATCTTTGACATCTTTGAGGACAGTGCCACAACAGTATAACATGAAGTTAATTCTGCATGGAATAACTAATTGTTTCATTTCTGAAGTCTTCAGTTCTTGTAAAACGTGGAATAATAACTGTGAATTAAGAGCTCACATTTTGAAGTACCTAAGAATTTTGAAGGTTGCTAATTTCTTCAAGTGTTGCAGCTATTTGCCTGAGGAGATGAGGAACCCTGATTCATTCAAGTGTATGCTCCTACTTACTTTTTAACACTCCGATATTACATAAAATATATGTTCTGATATAGTGAGGACTGATGTCTGGAAATCTTATGTTACAGGGATGCTGCAGAATCCAATGTACCGCCAACAACTACAGGATATGCTGTAATACACTCTTCCTTGAATATTTTCCCTCCAAGCCAGTTGTTGCTAGGTCACTTTTAATTTGTCTTGAACAATGAAGTTGTCATGTGCTAGGATTATTTGGGATGAAACGGGGTGAAGGAAAATGAACTGGATTATAATAGAGGAAGAAACAGGGAATGACCCTGAACCTAAACGGCGCGACGCTCTCCGTCGCACTGAGAAGGCAGGGCCGATGGGCACTAAGATAAATATTGATCTAATGCCTAATTGATCTGGGATAGGATCCCCTCCTTATATAGATGGAGGACTACTTAACCTAATCCTAACAAACCCTGACTCTATCCAATGGGCCTAGGATTCCCGGCCCAAAGCCCATGACATTACTCACCTCTTTTCGAGCAGCTCATCCTCGAGCTGCAGCAGACCCTGCTAGACTCAAATAAAACACCATAACCTAAACTAACTCTTAAGCCTTTTACATCTCGGCTTTTAGAATTGTGGTGGACTGGCCTGTAGAATTGTGCCTTGTATTTGATGGGTTATGCCAACTTGAGTTGTGTTAGTGCCACTGATCATTACCTACAGTCTATTATGTCCCTTGCAGACTTGCGGTATTATTGCATGATGTAACTAATATACAAATCTTATCTGGCTTTCCTTAGACTATGCTGATGTTTTTCTCTAAACAGAAACAACATGGGTGGATCTCCTGATCAATGGGATAACCGAATGCTCGATCACTTGAAGAATTTTGACCTTAGCAGTCCAGAAGTCAGGCAGCAGTTTGGTGAGTGAATTAAACATTTCCACATTTACCTAGTAGTTCCTGATTGGAACACTGGAATTCTGTTTAGCTTCCATGCTATGCTTTAGTACCCTATCCCAGTGAGCAATTCGATGATATGTGCTATTCCCCCCTAATGCGAACCTGTTTTTTATTTCTTTTCTGTCTTCCTTTCTTTCTTTTTGGGCTATAGTGAAGTCATATGGAGCATATGTTCTTTTACCCCCTTTGTCACTTTCTGGTGCTAGATACGCCTAGCAGAGTTTTTCGCACCTGCTCCCATTATTATGTCCTTGCATACTTGGTAGGTGGGTGGAGATAATTAAACTGGATTGTGATTCCATTGTGCTGAACTAGTTTTCTATTGTTTGCAACAATTCATCTATTGCAAAATTGTTCCATCGCATTTTGTAAAAAGTTATTCAAATTCAAATGAGCATATATGACATCAATCTATTTTGTGTTTGCTCAGCGCAAGTTGGCATGACTCCAGAGGAGGTAGTATCGAAAATAATGGCAAACCCAGAAGTTGCTGTTGCATTCCAGAACCCAAAGATTCAAACAGCGATCATGGATGTAAGTTTCTGTACAAATTCATTTCATTACTGAATAAACTGTTGCATCTTCTAACAAAGAATCATCTTGATGCAGTGCTCACAAAACCCGCTCAATATTGTAAAATACCAGAACGACAAAGAGGTATGTTTTCTGTGTATTCCGGTCATCTATTGGACCTTTATCAATTTACTCAAAGACTTGAGATGGATTGCATCATGCTTCTCTTTCTAATTTGATGAGTCTGCTTTTAGGTCATGGATGTTTTTATGAAGATATCACAAATCTTCCCTCAAATTAATGGCTAGTGGATCGTCGCCGTGAGATTGCAGTTTTGATTTTTGTTGCCCTATCATCTCTTCCAAGTGGCTGCGGTAACATCTGTTGATCGGCTGAGTAAAAGGAAACGAAGTTCATCTGTTCAGTCATTACGGACAAGATGTAAAAGCTTTCCTGTCAGGGTTTTTTGAGTTGCCAATGTACATCATCATATCGCCTAGTGTTTGGTTTGGTAGTGACCCTGCCTCAAGCCAGAGCAGGCAACGAAGCGAAGTTAAGGATTTTTTTTATTTACATCCCCGCGCCCCCGTACAACTGTGTAGCTTGTGCTTTGACGTTACGAGGTTTGTGGTAGGTTGTGAAGATGCAGAGATAGTTCATATCACCTCAATTTTGATAATATTATGTATTATATCTGTGTTAGCATTGCAATGCAAGCGAACAAGTTTACTATCTTCCAAAGCAACTTGGTTGGATTGGTGCTTGTGTTACTCTACATATAATTTGGAGGCTAATAATTCAAGTTCTTGAGGCTACTGAGCTCATGATCATACCATAGTGATAGAGGTATGTTTTAGGTTCCAGGATACCATTGTCTACCAGTGAGGTAACCAGGACAAACTGCCTACTTTCAGCTGATCACGAGCAGAGAGATCCGGTGGATCTACCATTAGTGCTCTGTTTGGATTCCCATATGAGGGGCTCTCCCGGCAAACGATGCGATCAACAATTCCATTTCCATTATCCAAGACAGGTTCTTTGCTGCTTTGAGTTTGCTTCACGCCGTTTTGTTTTGATGGAGAGGCGTGAGAGCCGAAGGCCACCGCTGCGCTCCGGCCTCAAACACGGGCGGAGCACCTGCGTCACGGCTCACCACGCGCGCACACGACGCATTTTCTCTTCTTCTTTGTCCGGGTCTCGACGTCTCGTAGCCGCAGGTAGTAGACGACGCGTGCGTGTGCGTGGCGGGGGAGGTCGGTCGGTGGCCTTCGGTGGTGCAGCCAGCCAGCCAGCCACGCACACCGGCGCCACCGTACTAAAACTTTGAGATATCACAGCACATTACAAAACTTAATTACCATCTCAAAGTTTTGAAACCATAGTCACGATGCACATTCTCTAAGACCAAAAGGACTAATCAGGACCACGGCCAGTGCTACTTGCTGGCTTTCATCGGACAATAGAAAAAACTAACATACGGTGAGAAACACACCACTATAGGTAACAATATAATTATCCCGACCTTAACAGGGACAGTTTTATTTAGTACTGGATCATTTGAAAGAAAGGTGAATCGAGCATTGAGCTGACATGCATTCGCAATAACACCTTTAGTTATAACAGCACAAAGATTCAGTGT